TACATCTCGCTGGTTTTTCTATGCATCGTCTAGACCAGACAGCAGACTCAGGCAAGATGAAGGGAGGAGGGATGTGTCTCTTTGTTAACAACAGCTGGTGCGCAATCTCTAATAGTTTTTGCTCACCTGGGTTGCAATACCTCATGATTAGCTGCAGACCATACTATTTACCAAGAGAGTTTTCATCTATACTTTTCATAGCTGTCTACTTACCACCACAAACCAATGCTGGCACTAAGACCACACTCAACGAGCTGCATAGGGCCATAAGTAAACAAGAAAATGCACATTCAGAGGCGGTGTTTCTTGTGGCCGGTGATTTTAATGCAGGGAAACTGAAATCCGTTTTTTAACCTCATTTTGTCACCTGTGCAACTAGATGCGACAAAACTCTAGATCACCTTTACTCCACACACAGAAACACATACAAGGCCCTCCCTCGGCCACCCTTTGGTAAATCAGACCATAACTCTATCCTCCTGCTTCCTGCTTACAAGCAAATGCTCACACAGGAAGTAACAGTGATGCATTCAATACGGAAGTGGTCCAATGAAGCGGATGCTAAGCTACAGGACTGTTTTGCTAGCACAGATTGGAATATGTTCCTGGATTCATCCGATAAAATTGAGAAGTTTACCACATCCGTCACCGGCTTCATTAAGAAAGTGCATCGACAATGTTGTCTCCACAGTGACCATACGTACATAGCCCAACCAGAAGCCATGGATTACAGGCAACATCCGCACTGAGCTAAAGGCTAAAGCTGCCACTTTCAAGGAGTGGGACACTAATCCGGATGCTTATATGAAATCCCGTTGCGACCTAAGCCATCAAACAGGCAAAGAGCGTCAATACAGGCCTAAGATCGAATCCTACTATGCCGGTTCTGACGCTTGACGGATGTGGCAGGGCTTGCAAACTATCACAGATTACAAAGAGAAACTCAGCCGCGAGCTGCCCAGCAATGCGAGTTTACCAGATGAGCTAAATGCCTTCTATGCTCGCTTCGAGGCAAGCAACACTGAACCATGCATGAGTGCACCAGCTGTTCTGGACACTGTGTGATCTCGCTCTCTGTAGCCGATGTGAGTAAGAACTTTAAACAGGTTAACATTCACAAGGCCGCAGGGCCAGACGGATTACCAGGACGCATACTCAGAGCATGCGCTGAGGAAGGCCCAACACTTTATCAAAGACTCCAGCCACCCAAGCGATAGACTGTTCTCTCTGCTACAGCACGGCAAGTGGTACCATTGCGGTACCAAGTCTGGAACCAACAGAACCCTGAACAGCTTCTACCACCAAGCCATAAGACTGCTAAACAAGGCTGCTAAAAAGCTAATAGAATGGCTACCTGGACTACCTGCATTGACCCTTTTGTGAACTAACTCTCATGCACTGACTCTATACACACACACTGGACTCTACCTACACGTAGTGTGTATCAGTTTAGAGTGAATGTAGTGTATATCAGTGTGAATGTTGTGTCTATTAGTGTGAATGTAGTGTCTATTAGTGTGAATGTAGTGTGTATCAGTGTGAATGTAGTGTGTATCAGTGTGAATGTAGTGTGTATCAGTGTGAATGTAATGTGTATCAGGGTGAATGTTGTCAGTGTAGATGTAGTGTGTATGGGCATGGAGGATGCAGGGGTATGACTGGGTAAAGCAGGACACAGTGAGGAGGTAATGTGGAGGGACAGTGAGGTGTGTTGGTCAGGAATGAGCCTCTCTCCACTGCAAGGCTTTTACAGTCACAGCACAGCTAGTGCCGGGTAAGTGTGGGAGTGGCTCTTATCGAATGCTGTAGCCAGCTCTCGGTTAAATCACACCTTAAATCCTTTTCCATCATCATAACCATTTGTTTTCCTTTCAGGGAGGGGAGCAGGACGGGAGGGAAGGAGGAAGGGAGGAAGAGGAGACACACTTTTCCTCTGATCCCGGTGCTCTCTCTCTCTCTCTCTCTCTCTCTCTCTCTCTCTCTCTCTCTCTCTCTCTCTCTCTCTCTCCTCTCTCTCTCCTCTCTCTCTCTCTCTCTCTCTCTCTCTCTCTCTCTCTCTCTCTCTCTCGCTCTCTCGTTAGTGGTAGTGTTTGGTGGTCCTCATTCGTATCATCAGTTCCTCATGCTGCTGATTCCTTCCATTGGTCATGTTGACATATTGTGTGTGGACACTGGGTCCTTCTCCCTTCATTCCCCTTCTCTTCCTCTTCTTTTATTTTCCTCGCAGCTCTCCTGACCCCTCCTCTTTCCTCCTATGTCTCCCAACTTCCTCCTCTCTCCTCTTTCTCTTTCATATTCTCCTCTTCCTTGCTCTCCTGTCCTCTCACCCATATTCAAACCTCTGCACATCTAACCCACTCAGCTCAGATAGTCGACATATAGTTGCACATTCAAGCCTCATTCACCCCTCCTCCCCTCCTCCCCTCCTCCCTCCTCCCCTCCTTCACTCCTTCAACCCTCTCCCTCCACCACTGCCACCAATCCTTCCCTCTCTCTCCCCCTCTCTCTCCGTCTCCCTCCTCCCTTCTCCAGCTGCCCTTGAGCTTTTCTATTACCGCATGGAAAGCACCTCGCAGCCCCTGACAAGCGCAGCGGATCGACACTAAATCAGAAATCAGTGCCAGCCGCCGATCTGAGCCACCATGAAGGTCACAGACCATCCGCCGCCGCATCTCAATCTGGAGAACAGAGCAAGAACACAGACACAACTAGAGCACACAGACACCAGACAGAGAGGTAGAGAGGGAGGTAGAAGAGTAGAGGGGGAGGTAGAAGGGTAGAGAGGGAGGTAGACGGGTAGAGCGGGAGGTAGAAGGGTAGATAGAGGGTAGAGGGGGAGGTCAGTGAGGGCCAGGGGGAGATTTGGGTCAGTGGTTGTCATGCTATGGTAATCTACAAATACTACTGAGTCGTATAATCACTCTCCATTTAGAGAGAGAAAATAATACGAGTCTAATAGTGCAGTCTTTAACAATGTTGTTTTTAATTCAATGTCCAGAGAGGCACAATAATTTGACTGAGATGAATAAGCACATTCTGTGTTTTCTATTTGCAGACAGATTTATCTGTCTAAATATTGCATGGATGAATAGCAAGGCAAACATGTTGGTTTAGCCATAATTCCCCAATCGCTTTCACTATCAGTTTCCACAGAAGGATGTGGTTCTCTCCAGAGCTTGGAGTTGTTGTACACTGCCATCTAGTTGTCACTGATGACTGTGTAATTACAAGGTAACAAACAGACTAGCTATATGATGCATATACAGTAGCAGTCAAAAGTTTGGACACACCTATACATTCAAGGTTTTTTCTTTATTTTTACTATTTTCTACATTGTAGAATAATAGTGAAGACATCAAACTATGAAATAACACATAGGGAATCATGTAGTAACCAAAAAAGTGTTAAACAAATCAAAATATATTTTATATTTGAGATTCTTCAAAGTAGCCACCCTTTGCTTTGATGACAGCTTTGCACACTCTTGGCATTCTCTCAACCAGCTTCATGAGGAATGCTTTTCCAACAGTCTTGAAGGAGTTCCCACATATGCTGAGCACTTGTTGGCTGCTTTTCCTGTACTCAATTGGGTTGAGGTCGGGTGATTGTTGAGGCCAGGTCATCTGATGCAGCACTCCATTACTCTCCTTCTTGGTCAAATAGCCCTTACACAGCCTGGAGGTGTGTTGGGTCATTGTCCTGTTGAAAAACAAATGATAGTCCCACTAAGCGCAAACCAGATGGGATGGCGTATCGACGCAGAATGCTGTGGTAGCCTTGCTGGTTAAGTGCGCCTTGAATTCTAAATAAATCACTGACAGTGTCACCAGCAAATCACCCCCACACCATCACACCTCCTCCATGCTTCACGGTGGGAACCACACATGCGGAGATCATCCGTTCACCTACTCTGCGTCTCACAAAGACACGGCAGTTGGAACCAAAAATCTCAAATTTGGACTCATCAGACCAAAGGACAGATTTCCACCGGTCTAATGTCCATTGCTCATGTTTCTTGGCCCAAGCAAGTCTCTTCTTATTATTGGTGTCCTTTAGTAGTGGTTTCTTTGCAGCAATTCCACCATGAAGGCCTGATTCACGCTGTCTCCTCTGAACAGTTGATGTTGAGATGTGTCTGTTACTTGAACTATGTGAAGCATTTCTTTGGGCTGCAATTTCTGAGGCTGGTAATTCTAATGAACTTATCCTCTGCAGCAGAGGTAACTCTGGGTCTTTCTTTCCTGTGGCGGTCCTCATGAGAGCCAGTTTCATCATAGCACTTGATGGTTTTTGCGACTGCACTTGAAGAAACCTTCAAAGTTCTTGAAATGTTCCGGATTGACTGACCTTGATGTCTTAAAGTAATGATGGACTGTCGTTTCTCTTTGCTTATTTGAGTTGTTCTTGCCATAATATGGACTTGGTCTTTTACCAAATAGGGCTATCTTCTGTATACCAACACTACCTTGTCACAACACAACTGATTGGCTCAAACGCATTAAGAAGGAAAGAAATTCCACAAATGAACTTTTAACCAGGCACACCTGTTAATTGAAATGCATTCCAGGTGACTACCTCATGAAGCTGGTTGAGAGAATGCCAAGAGTGTGCAAAGCTGTCATTAAGGCAAAGGGTGGCTACTTTGAAGAATCTCAAATATAAAATATATTTTGATTTGTTTAACACTTTTTTGGTTACTACATGATTCCATATTTGTTATTTCATAGTTTTGATGTCTTCACTATTATTCTACAATGTAGAAAATAGTAAAAATAAAGAAAAACCTTTGAATGAGTAGGTGTGTCCAAACTTTTGACTGGTACTGTACATGTAATAAAATGTTATTGCATTTTTTAAAATTCCTGCCATATATATTATTTTATCATTATTTTTTAGATAAGAGACAGCCAGAACAATAATATCAGTTTGTCAAGAGGTCTTCGCGAAGTTGCGTTTCTGTTTTTCGCGTTTGCATAAATATGTCTGTTCTGCGCTTCCGTAGTTAGCTACTGTCACATGAATGTTTTTTTTGCGAAAGCTCAGCTTGACAGTTTCATGTCAAATTTCACGGTTCTTAGTTTGCCAGCTGAATCTCAAGTGGCAGATTTCCCTACTAAATAACAACGAGATATCCCCGACAGCTATTTTAAAATCTTCAAGACGACCGTGATCTGGTAACGTCTCACGCCAAATGATTGTTAAGGCAAGATATAATCACATTCTCTGCTTGCTAACCTGAATTAGCTTGCTAGCTTGTCAGAATTGCTTACATGCATGACCCAGGGGTCAGCTGTTTGTCATCAACAACAGAAATCACATGTCCTTGCATATTGTGTCATGGTGCAACATCAGACTTCTGACATCTGTCTTCTTGTCATCAGAATCTCCTGCATAGCCATTAGCCAGTCATGCTGCGATGGATACTTGGTGGTCGGGATGCACAGGGGTCTGTCGAGGTAATAGCTGGCTAACTAGCTAACTATTTTGTGTGTTGTTAATGCTATAGTTACCTGGTTGACAACCATTCTCTACTGTAACTCTAAGCAAATGTGGTATTGTACTGGCCATAATTCTTACAATAATTTGTGCAGAGATATACATTTATTTTCTCCACCCTTTCCAAGCTTTTCTCACTATAACTCACCTTCTCTTATGTGATTGAATTCACTGAGTTGCTTTTCAACCTACTGTCTCTCCTCATATCCTTTTCTCCCTTATGTGTGCAGAAAAACCATGTGCTATTCATTGGGGAGGAACAGCCCAAAAACTGGTTCACTGAACTGCAGGTGCTGAAAGGACATTTTGACATTGTTCGATTTCTGGTGCAGATTGATGACTTCAGGTAAGCACTCCTCCTATTCTCTCTCTCTCTCTCTCTCTCTCTCTCTCTGCCACTGCTCTCTACCCTCTGCTGGACTCCATCTCTCAGTGTGATTGACAGCAGATCCTCTCCAAAAGCAAACTTACTGAGCGTGACAAGAGCTTAATCATCACCACTGCTGGACTGTGTGTGTGTGTTTGATCTTCTCCGCAACAAATCTTTACTGGGTTGTGTGTATTTTATACTGTATGTGTGCGGTTACGCTATAGTTTACCCCTTTTATTAACCCCCGCCTCCTACACACCTGCTACCCCACCTGCTCTTCCACCCCCCACTGACCACTGAATACATAGTTAACAGCCTTCACAGGTAATGCATTGCTTGGTGGAAGCATGCTGCGTGCTACAATGGTACAGTGGGTCTGCATAAGTGGTCTCATAAGTGCTTTCTAGCTGATCTGAGCGCTGTGTGTGTGTGTGTGTGTGTGTGTGTGTGTGTGTGTGTGTGTGTGTGTGTGTGTGTGTGTGGAGCTGGGTGGGTCCGGCAGGGCTTCACGCCTCGTCTACCCCAGTAATGACCCCCTCCTCTGGGCCTCGTCCTCTCCAGACAGGCCAGCAGCCGAGGGCAGGGGCCGGAACATTCTCACCAGATTGCTTTTCAAGCCCCAAAATGTATCCTTTTCCAGCCCTCGTTCGCTGGAAAGACAGTTCCTTTTCTCTTCTTTCTTCTATCTCATCCTTTACTTTTTCTGATCCCCTCATCCTGTAGGTTGGTTGTAGATTGGTAGGGGTCAGAGGTCAGGGGAAGGAGCTAAGCCTGAGGACAGGTGTTTTTAACATCCCAGGGGAGGTAGTGGATATTGTGGACAGTAGCTTACTCTGTTTCACTGAAACACATCCTTCTGGTTCACTCACTTGGAGTTGATACATATTTTTTCTCATTCATAACTGAAGAGTATTAGGTAATTATCACCATCATGCTTTGTTTTTAGCTGTGCTTTTAGGTGAATAGCAGGACTGTAAGCAGGACCAGCGTTTGGTCATGTCATAAGTAGACATTTCTTCCTCTCTTTGTTGTTTCCCAGGTTTGCCTCTGCAGGAGACGATGGTCTGGTGTTGGTGTGGAACGTTGAGGTGAGGCTTCTCTCTGGGAGGGGAGATTGAGGGGGGATATAGGAACATACACACATCTAAAGGCTTTGAGCAATAGCTGGGTAAACTATTTGAAACGATAAAGCAAGAATAAAGGGTAGTAGTGTTTTAGTAACACCAGTAGGTGGCAGTGTTGTGAATATATTTTGTATAATACGAATTGTCACGCGGGTGTGTGTGTTTGAGTGTTCTCAGACAGGAGAGAGGCTGCTGGAACTAAGGGGTCACTCCCAGCAGATAACGGCCATGACAGCCTACACACACACCAGTGGAGAGAACACACACACCTCCCTCATCACCGCTTCCTCGGACCGCACCCTCAGTGTATCCTTACCACACACACACACACACACACACATACACACACATGCACATACACACACATACATACATACATACATACATACATATGTAAAACCCTGTTGTTGTGTTTCCTGAGTGTTGTGGTTCAGCTGTGGGACCCAGAGACAGGCAACAGGGTTCAGACCGTCTCAGACCTCCAGTCCTCTGTCAAGGTATCTTCATCTGCTTTTCATCTGTTGGCAACACTTCATTTACCCAACTGTTTACACTGTAAAGAATGCAAATTGTTACCATATGTTACCTAGTGCTGTGTGCTTTCTCAAGTTAAGTTTTTTTGGTCACGTGCACTAGTGCAGTGAAATGCCTTTCTTGCTTGCTCTTTCCCAACAATGCAGTAGTACATATTAGTAGTACTATAAAACAGTCAAGTAGAACTAAAACACATGAGAAATAGAAATAAGAAGAACATGAGAAGTAAGCAAGCTATATACAGGGTCAGTTCCAGGGTCAGTTCCAGTACCATATTTACAATGTGCATGGATACTGGAGTGATAGAGGTAGATATGTATAGGGGTAAGGTAACTCAGCATCAGGATTTATGATAAACAGAGTAGCAGAAGTGTATATGATGATTGTACAGTGAGGGAAAAAAGTATTTGATCCCCTGCTGATTTTGTACGTTTGCCCACTGACAAAGAAATTATCGGTCTATAATTTTAATGGTAGGTTTATTTGAACAGTGAGAGACAGAATAACAACAAAAATATCCAGAAAAACGCATGTCAAAAATGTTATAAATTCATTTGCATTTTAATGAGGGAAATAAGTATTTGACCCCCTCTCAATCAGAAAGATTTCTGGCTCCCAGGTGTCTTAAAGGGAGTGCTCTTAATCTCAGCTTGTTACCTGTATAAAAGACACCTGTCCACAGAAGCAATCAATCAATCAGATTTCAAACTCTCCACCATGGCCAAGGCCAAAGAGCTCTCCAAGGATGTCAGGGACAAGATTGTAGACCTACACAAGGCTGGAATGGGCTACAAGACCATCGCCAAGCAGCTTGGTGAGAAGGTGGCAACAGTTGGTGCGATTATTCGCAAATGGAAGAAACACAAAAGAACTGTCAATCTCCCTCGGCCTGGGGCTCCATGCAAGATCTCACCTCGTGGAGTTGCAATGATCATGAGAACGGTGAGGAATCAGCCCAGAACTACATGGGAGGATTTTGTCAATGATATCAAGGCAGCTGGGACCATAGTCACCAAGAAAACAATTGGTAACACACTACGCAGTGAAGGACTGAAATCCTGCAGCGCCCGCAAGGTCCCCCTGCTCAAGAAAGCACATATACAGGCCCGTCTGAAGTATGCCAATGAACATCTGAATGATTCAGAGGAGAACTGGGTGAAAGTGTTGTGGTCAGATGAGACCAAAATCGAGCTCTTTGGCATCAACTCAACTCGCCATGTTTGGAGGAGGAGGAATGCTGCCTATGACCACAAGAACACCATCCCCACCATCAAACATGGAGGTGGAAACATTATGCTTTGGGGGTGTTTTTCTGATAAGGGGACAGGACAACTTCAACGCATCAAACGGATGATGGACGGGGCCATGTACCGTCAAATCCTGGGTGAGAACCTCCTTCCCTCAGCCAGGGCATTGAAAATGGGTCGTGGATGGGTATTCCAGCATGACAATGACCCAAAACACACGGCCAAGGCAACAAAGAAGTGGCTCAAGAAGAAGCACATTAAGGTCCTGGAGTGGCCTAGCCAGTCTCCAGACCTTAATCCCATAGAAAATCTGTGGAGGGAGCTGAAGGTTCGAGTTGCCAAACGTCAGCCTCGAAACCTTAATGACTTGGAGAAGGTCTGCAAAGAGGAGTGGAACAAAATCCCTCCTGAGATGTGTGTAAACCTGGTGGCCAACTACAAGAAACGTCTGACCTCTGTGATTGCCAACAAGGGTTTTGCCACCAAGTATTTTTACATTGAAGTACTAAGTAATGTTTTGCAGAGGGGTCAAATACTTATTTCCCTCATTAAAATGGAAATCAATGTATAACATTTTTGAAATGCGTTTTTCTGGATTATTTTGTTGTTATTCTGTCTCTCACTGTTCAAATAAACCTACCATTAAAATTATAGACTGATCATGTCTTTGTCAGTGGGCAAACATACAAAATCAGCAGGGGATCAAATACTTTTTTCCCTCACTGTATATGAGTGTGTGTGTAGAGTGCGTGTTATGTGTGTGTGAGCAAATGAAGTGTTTGAGTGTGTAGAATGTGCATAGAGACAGTGCAAAAAATAATAATTGAAAGGTCAATGTAGATAGTCCGTGAAAATCAAATATACAGAGAAAGTAAACAGAAAGAAGAGGGCCGATGTCACCCCCCATATCCATCCCTCCATCAACCCCCCCATCATCACCCCCCCCCCCCCCACGCTCGGTTGACGCTCAAGGGTAGATTGAAAGATCACAAGTGAGAGTGCATTGAAATGTACAAATTCATAGCTCCGAATGGTCAAAATAAGAGAGGAGAGGTTGCCAGATTTGATCAAATTTTGATGATTTATTGCATAATATATATAATATATTGAATTCTTTCTAAAAGTGTTTGTCAAATTGCAGAGCCATAATTTGGTAGAGGGAACTTCTTTCCTTTTCCAAAACAACAACAACACATTTTTTTTGTCGAAATAAGACTGTAAGAGATTAGTTGTTTTTGGGGCTTGGTTAATCTGTTTAGGGTTTCTGACACTCCCAGGATGATCAGAAGCGGGTCTGGGTCAATTAAAGTCTCCAGAACTTCAGAGAGGATCCTAAAAATTCCACACCAATAACCATGCAGGTTAGAGCATAGGGCAAAGCAGTGGAGTAGTGTACCCTCTGCAGCATGACATTTATCACACATAGGGGAGGTATCAGGAAAGATCCTATGCAGCTTAGTTTTGGAATAGTGTAATCTGTGTAAGATCTTGAGTTGTATAAAATAATGTCTGGAGTTAATGGAGCAGGTGTGGATATACTCCAAGCTATCTTCCCAGTCTGCTACAGAAATGTCAGTCCCTAGCTCTTCCTCCCATTTTGCCTTAATGGTTTGTAGAAGGTGTGCTAACAGATTGAAAAGCGTCATATAGACAAAATATCAGTTTGCCTGAGGTGGGACAAACATGGAAGGTTTAGCATTTCCAAATGTAGGAAGATGTTTTCTAACATAGTCTCTAATCTGTAGGTATCTGAAAAAGTTACTTCTGGGAAGATTATAGGTTTCCCTCAGCAAATCAAAGGAGGCAAAAGTCCCTTCTATTTAAAAATCCCCTATGGTATTGATCCTTAGCTCTCCCCATCGCTCAAAGGTGTTATCAAGGTTAGAGGGGGCAAAGGAGGCATTCCTCGCAATAGCAGCAGGAATTATATTGGTCTAAGGTCAAAATGGACCTTCATTTTCTTCCAGATACGGACTGTGCTATGTATGATAGGATTATTACTATAAAGTGACATCTCCAAATTGATGGGACAAAATCACAGCACCAATAGAGAAGGGGTGGCAATCCTAACGCTCCATACTAAGCCAGCTGGATGACTGATGTGTGTCATCCAGCCAAAACGTAACAGCATGGAGGTTAGCAGCCCAATAGTAAAATATAACATTTGGGAGAGACAATCCTCCTTCCTTCTTGGATTTACAGAGGTGTTTTTTTTAACCTATCCTGTGTGTTTTATAATCCCAGATGAATGGATTGATAATTGAGTCCAGTTGTTTATGAAAGGATTTAGGTCTGAATACCTGGATGTACTGGAATAGGTAAAGCAGTTGCGGGAGGAAGACCATTTTAATGGCATTCATTCTTCAGAGCAGGGAAATTGGGAGAGTTCTCAAAAATGTTATGTTTGCAGTTGTCAAAAAAAAAAAACACTAGTTTGCTCAAAACATATTTTTGTACCCTTAAGTGTGTGTACATTACTGTATTTATACGTGGGATATTGTTTTTCAACAGGAAAAGTTCAAAAAGTGTGCGTCTTTAAATGTTCATTTGGGAGAGGGTTGCTAGGGGCAACAGTGCTGTTACATATCTTTCCTTCACTTGTTTTCACCATCTAGTATACTGTTTCTATATATATATATATATATATATATATATATATATACAGTCAGTTCAGGTGATATTTAGACATACTGTACATGTCTTTTTATGTCTGTGAACTCTAGTATTCATTAAAATGTTTGCCATAAAAGGTGACTGGGTGTGGGGGTGGGGTTTATGCAACAATGGTAGAATTGTAATTGAGAAGATAATTAGTCTCCATAAGTTAATTATGACTGATACCCTTCCCCAGGGGATTATATTGTTTGGGTGGAGATGTGTGGGTGTGTGTGTGTGTGTGTGTGTGTGTGTGTGTGTGTGTGTGTGTGTGTGTGTGTGCGTGTGTACTCTTATCCTTCTATCTCTGTTAGTGTCTGCTGGTGTTGGAGCGCTTGTGTGTGTGGGTGTCGGGGGGAAACGAGTTGTGTGTGTGGAACAGAGACTTCCAGCTGCAGTGTCAGAGCCAGCACCATGACGACACAGGTAATAACACAGAGATAATGTTAGGATACATTCATTATTAATGCACTATTCACATATTACCCTCGTGGTACACACAGAGAAACCAGGATCACGGTTCAGTTGCAACAAAAGGGGAGCAAACATTTTGAAAAACGAAGGGAGTACTGTCTGATCTTGTCCATTTAGCACAAACATTTCACTCCATTTGATAAAACGCTTGCTGTCGTTTGTACTTATTAATGCATTTGTATCTCATATATGAAGGGATTCAATGTTAGTCTTGTGTTGTGTCTCAAGGAATCAGTGCCATGGTGGAGTTGCCTAAGAACTGTATAGCAGCAGCTATGGACAAAGAGATAGGTGAGTAGTACTAGTAACTGTGGTTGTACTCCTGTATTCTTTTTGAACACTTGTGTTGTCCACGTATCTGTTTTTAACTAAAGGAAACACCCTCTCCCTCCCTCTGCCTGTAGTGATTTTCAGGCTGACCATGTCCACTGGGGTCCCAGTTGTCTGTGGCAGAGGTCAGACGTCTATCTGACCACCAGGATAGCATCCACGCTCTCATCAACGTCAACGGTCAGCCTGGCCTTTGTCTCTTCATCTCACATTTACATTTGACTTATTAGTCATTCAGCAGACGCTCTTATCCAGAGCCACTTACAGTTAGTGAAAGGTGAGACAACCACATATCACTGTCGTAGTAAGTACATTTTCCTCAATAAAGAAGTTATATGCATATGACCTAGCAGGTCTGATAGAGATAGAGAGAGAGCACTGACTTTACTGATGTCAAATACACTGAGTGTACAAAACATTAAGGACACCTTCCTAATATTGAGTTGCACCCCCCTACACCCTTTTTCCCCTCAGAACAGCCTCAATTCGTCGGGGCATGGACTCTACAAAGTGTCAAAAGTGTTCCACAGTGATGCTGGCCCATGTTGACTCCAATGCTTCCCACAGTTGTGTCAAGTTGTCTGAATATTCTTTGGTTGGTGGATCTTTCTTGATACACACGGGAAACTGTTGAGCGTGAAAAACCCCAGCAGCGCTGCAGATCTTGACACACTCAAACCGGTGCGCCTGGCACTTACTACCATAATCTATTCAAAGGCACTTAAATATTTTGTCTTGCCCATTCACCCTCTGAATGGCACACATACACAATCCATGTCTCAAGGCTTAAACATCCTTCTTTAACCTGTCTCCTCCCCTTCATCTACACTGATTGAAGTGGATTTAACAAGTGACATCAATAAGGGATCATAGCTTTCACCTGGATTCACCTGGTCAGTCTACAGTATGTATTGGAAAGAGCAGGTGTCCTTAATGCTTTGTAAACTCAGTGTATATTTCAGGTTGACTTGGTTTAACTTAAACTGAAGCTAAACCTTGACCGGGCAGTCTAGAATTCTGGGATTTGAATTTCTGAGGTTCTACTTCACAAATTCGAACTCTATGGTATCTTCATCCTTCCCCTCTTCCTCCTCTTCCTACTCCTCCTCTACCACTTCCTTTTCAGATGGCCTGTTTGCCAGCGGGTCCCATGTTGGCGAGCTGATCCTGTGGGACGCTGTTGATTGGACGATTATGGCCTATGAGCACATCCTGTGGGAGGAGTCTCAGACCGACACCCAGGCTGAGATCCGATTAGCCGCTCCGAAACCCAGTGAGATGTCCATCCAACACCTGACATCCGATGGAGAGGTGAGTACCCAAAGTGTTTTGACATGGTGAGCTTATTTTAGGTTGAAATGCAGTGTTGTTAATCAAGTCAAGTCAACTGGTATTTAAAGTGCATTATCACAAGGTCTCAATTCACTACAAATGAATGATCTATTCTATTTCTCCCTAGTTGATGGTGGCTGCAGTGGGCAGTGGTCTGTATGTGTACAGCGTCATCACTAAGAGTGTCGTGGCCTACAGGAAGACAGCCCACGACTCCAACGTACTACACACCATGCTGCTGCCTGATGGGTAATCAAATCACACCTGCTCTTATTAAGAGACCCACTGTTTGCTGTTCCCAAGCTCTTTATCTCAGCCACAACAATGTTATCAAACATAATGGTCTTTATCAGGTTTCACACGTTACCTGTGTTGTTCTCTCCTGTAAGGCACATGTGTGTCACACTGCAGTGTTTTTATAGGTTTCTTATAGTGTGTGTGTGTGTGTTGCAGGGGGCTGATGTCATGCTCAGAGGACGGCAGTGTGAGGATGTGGGAGATGCAGGACCTCCTGTTACCTGCAGAACCAGCCTCTGCAGGTGAGTCGTACACACACACACACACACACACACACACACAGAGGAGTCAGTGTAGTGGTGGGATCAAAGGAAGGCTTGGCTAGACAGACTATGGCAGTGATGTCACTAGCCTAGGCTAGCATCTATACTAATCCTACACAGCTGCCTTTGGCTTTGAAGTGGATTGGAGCGCTCCTCTGAGCCTGGGCTGTGGTCCTTTCTCTCTTTTCCTCTCCCTCCCTCTCTCTGTCGCTCTCTCTTTTTTCTCAGTCTCTTTCTCGCTCTCTCTTTCTCATTCTGTTCATCCATCACTTCACCACAGCTCAGAGCTCAGAGTCTGTCAGTGTGACGCCTCCTTGAAGCACTGTCAGCACGCACGCGCACGCGCACACAGACAAATCACATTTCCTCAGTTGGCTTTTCTTTTTGCACTTCCACTATAATTTATAAGGAAGGGAAAATATAATTTTGGTCTTTTGGGATTTTTATTGACTTTTTATTATCCATATTAAGATAAATGTTTTCATGTGAAAAAATGTGACAAGCCCCTAGGGGCAGGCGGTCTACAGTCACGTCTTATTGGATGGTTGTGGAATGTTTCTCATCCCTGCTCAGAGCTGTGCCCCCTGCTTGACGTCTCGTGGTGATGACGTCGTGGCTGATAGAGTCCATGTGCCAAACCTGTCTGGCTGCCGAGTCCATCTGAAAAGTCACAGCATCAGCTTTCTATTAAAATATCTCTCTCTTCTCTCTCTCCATCCTCCAGGGTTCTTTGGGATGTGGACTTTCGGCAGGTCCAATAAGCAGGCGGGGCCTCCAGTGAAAAAGGTTATTGAACTCCCCAGTCTCAGAACACTGGAACTGACGGGCGACCTGATTGGACACTCAGGGGCCGTGCAGGTATGCTGTCACAGGTTTTATAAACAACTGACAACATTTAGACATAAATATCCTATCCTATTTATACATGTTACCATTTCTGTGTGTGTGTGTGTGTGTGTGTGTTTGTGCGTTCTTGCTTGTGTGTCCTCTCCAGATGTTTATGAGTTTTGGGGAGAAGGGTCTAGTGACGTGTTCTACAGACCACCTGCTGATCGCATGGAAGAACAGAGAGAGAGAGTCTCACCTCCGCAGTCTCGCCCTCTTCAGGAAACTGGAGGAGAACGGGGGGCTCTGACCCCCCACCTGTCAGTCACTAACACACTTATTTATGATTTTACAGAACACGTTCTACTGGAAGTTACAAGGTTTTAAAGAGGGGTGGAATTATTTTATTTTATAGGTGTTCTTATGTTGTTGGTTTCTAGTGGAGTCATTATTTCACTGTCTCTCAGAGGTTAATGGATGTGTGTGTGTGTGTATATATATATATATATACACAGTGAGGGAAAAAAGTATTTGATACCCTGCTGATTTTGTACGTTTGCCCACTGACAAAGAAATGATCAGTCTATAATTTTAATGGTAGGTTTATTTGAACAGTGAGAGACAGAATAACAACAACCAAATCCAGAAAAACACATATCAAAAATGTTATAAATTGATTTGCATTTTAATGAGGGAAATAAGTATTTGACCCCTCTGCAAAACATGACTTAGTACTTGGTGGCAAAACCCTTGTTGGCAATCACAGAGGTCAGACGTTTCTTGTAGTTGGCCACCAGGTTAGCACACATCTCAGGAGGGATTTTGTCCCCCTCCTCTTTGCAGATCTTCTCCAAGTCATTAAGGTTTCAAGGCTGACGTTTGGCAACTCAAACCTTCAGCTCCCTCCACAGATTTTCTATGGGATTAAGGTCTGGAGACTGGCTAGGCCACTCCAGGACCTTAATGTGCTTCTTCTTGAGCCACTTCTTTGTTGCCTTGGCTGTGTGTTTTGGGTCATTGTCATGCTGGAACACCCATCACGACCCATTTCCAATGCCCTGGCTGAGGGAAGGAGGTTCTCATCCAAGATTTGACGGTACATGGCCCCGTCCATCGTCCCTTTGATGCAGAGAAGTTGTCCTGTCCCCTTAGCAGAAAAACACCCCCAAAGCATAATGTTTCCACCTCCATGTTTGACAGTGGGGATGGTGTTCTTGGGGTCATAGGCAGCATTCCTCCTCCTCCAAACACGGCGAGTTGAGTTGATGCCAAAGCTCGATTTTGGTCTCATCTGACCACATCACTTTCACCCAGTTCTCCTCTGAATCATTCAGATGTTCATTGGCAAAATTCAGACGGCCCTGTATATGTGCTTTCTTGAGCAGGGGGACCTTGCGGGCGCTGCTGGATTTCAGTCCTTCACGGCGTAGTGTGTTACCAATTGTTTTCTTGGTGACTATGGTCCCAGCTGCCTTGAGATCATTGACAAGATCCTCCCATGTAGTTCTGGGCTGATTCCTCACCGTTCTCATGATCATTGCAACTCCACGAGGTGAGATCTTGCATGGAGCCCCAGGCCGAGGGAGATTGACAGTTATTTTGTGTTTCTTCCATTTGCGAATAATCGCACCAACTGTTGTCACCTTCTCACCAAGCTGCTTGGCGATGGTCTTGTAGCCCATTCCAGCCTTGTGTAGGTCTACAATCTTGTCCCTGACATCCTTGGAGAGCTCTTTGGTCTTGGCCATGGTGGAGAGTTTGGAATCTGATTGATTGATTGCTTCTGTGGACAGGTGTCTTTTATACAGGTAACAATCTGAGATTAGGAGCACTCCCTTTAAGAGTGTGCTCCTGATCTCAGCTCGTTACCTGTATAAAAGACACCTGGGAGCCAGAAATCTTTCTGATTGAGAGGGGGTCATATACTTATTTCCCTCATTAAAATGCAAATCAATTTATAACATTTTTGATATGTGTTTTTCTGGATTTGGTTGTTGTTATTCTGTCTCTCACTGTTCAAATAAACCTACCATTAAAATTATAGACTGATCATTTCTTTGTCAGTGGACAAACGTACAAAATCAGCAGGGGATCAAATACTTTTTTCAGTAATTTTACAACATGTGAAATTCTGTGTGTTTCAAGTCTTCAATTTTAATCTGAAGTTCTTATTTATGCCTGTCAAAGCCTGTCTTCAAGTTGGTCACATGTTTATTTGCCAAATGTCTGTATGGTTATCTGAACTATTTTAACCCCACACTTGCTTGTTTTTGAAAGCCTAAAAAGAATGTCACAAATTAAAGATACAACTGGTCACAAACACCATATTGTATATGTATGTATATTTTAAAAACGTTTATTGTTTCTCACTAATACATTTTAAAATAAGTATTGACAAAGAAAAACAAAATCAGACATCCTTTGACAAAGACCAGAAAAGACTGAATTCATATCCACTCAACCCTGGAGGATCCAACCAGAACAGCTTTATACAGAACTAAAGCATCAAACCATAAAATCCTTCCAAAATACATAAAACATTTCCATTATACTTTACAGTAGCCTTTTCACGGCCAATAATGACAAAACAATGAATTACTTACAAAAATAGAGTTTATATACATTAATGCTTGTGGAGTTTCTATTGGTTGTTCTGCTTGGATATGATAGAAAAGAAGGAAAGGGATTGGCACGTTCTCTGTACCCACTGATGCCAGTCTCTGACCAATGACAGAGCCTGGTTAACATGACATCACAGTAGATGTCAGCCATGCTCTCACCTCAGCAGAAACGGTTTGCTTTGGGGGGAAAAGAGAGTAAAGGAGGTGAAGCATGAGAGTGATATCAGAACTAACCACATCTCACTGGACAACTGAAACAAAAGATGAAGCTCAATGGAGAACAGACCATGGGAGACTAGATAGTGGGTTGTTGAAGTCAGCAGTAGCTAGGTAGTTTACAGTGTCTTTAGTGTCGTATATCAGTGAAACTATCAACGGCTTGACAGAGTGAGCAAGGGGAAGAGGTTTTAAGGCATTTGTCTTACCATGCTCTGAATCTAGCATACAGTCATGATCAAACACACTGTTCTCTCCATAATACCTGTAGTATTCACCTGTCGAGGGTCAGTCTCAAATGACACCCTATTCCCCACTAAGCACACTTCTTTTGTCACTATATGGGGAATAGGGTGCCATTTGGGACATTAATATACTGTGATACTCTGACCAACCAGAGAACGAGGAGTTGAGGCATGAGATAGAGTGTACCAAAGTATACAGCTGTAGTTGGAAGTTTACATACACCTTAGCCAAATACATTGAAACTCTGTTGTTCACAATTCCTGACATTTAATCCTAGTAAAAATCCCCTGTCTTAGGTCAGGTAGGATCACCACTTTATTTTAAGAATGTGAAATGTCAGAATAATAGTAGAGAGAATGATTTATTTCAGCTTTTATTTATTTTATCACATTCCCAGTGGGTCAGAAGTTTACATACACTCAATTAGTATTTGGTAGCATTGCCTTTAAATTGTTTAACTTGGGTCAAACGTTTTGGGTAGCCTTCCACAAGCTTCCCACAATAAGTTGGGTGAATTTTGGTCCATTCCTCCTGACAGAGCTGGTGTAACTGAGTCAGGTTTGTAGGCCTCCTTGCTCGCACACGCTTTTTCAGTTCTGCCCACAAATGTTCTATAGGATTGAGGTCAGGGCTTTGTGATGGCCACTCCAATACCTTGACTTTGTTGTCCTTAAGCCATTTTGCCACAGCTTTGAAAGTATGCTTGGGGTCATTGTCCATTTGGAAGACCCATTTGCGACTAAGCTTTAACTTCCTGACTGATGTCTTGAGATGTTGCTTCAATATATCCACATAATTTTCCTTCCTCATGATGCCATCTATTTTGTGAAGTGCACCAGTCCCTCCTGCAGCAAAGCACCCCCACAGCATGATGCTGCCACCCCCGTGCTTCACGGTTGGGATGGTGTTCTTCGGCTTGCAAGTCCCCCCTTTTTCCTCCAAACATAACGATGGTCATTATGGCCAAACAGTTCTATTTTTGTTTCATCAGACCAGAGGACGTTTCTCCAAAAAGTACGATCTTTGTCCCCATGTGCAGTTGCAAACCGTAGTCTGGCTTTTTTATGGCGGTTTTGGAGCAGTGTCTTCTTCCTTGCTGAGCGGCATTTCAGGTTATGTCAATATAGGACTTGTTTTACTGTGGATATAGATACTTTTGTACCGGTTTCCTCCAGCATCTTCACAAGGTCCTTTGCTGTTGTTCTGGGATTGATTTGCACTTTTCGCATCAAAGTACGATCATCTCTAGGAGACAGAACGCGTCTCCTTCCTGAGCGGTATGACGGCTGCGTGGTCCCATGGTGTTTATACTTGCGTACTATTGTTTGTACAGATGAACGCGGTACCTTCAGGCGTTTGGAAATTGCTCCCAAGGATGAACCAGACTTGTGGAGGTCTAGAATTATTTTTAGGCAACCAATTTCCTCAACTTCCTGGCTGATTTCTTTGGATTTTCCCATGATGTCAAGCAAAGAGGCACTGAGTTTGAAGGTAGGCTTTGAAATACATCCACAGGTACACCTCCAATTGACTCAAATGATGTCAATTAGCCTATCAGAAGCTTCTAAAGCCATGACATAATTTTCTGGAATTTTCCAAGCTGTTAAAGGCACAGTCAACTTAGTGTATGTAAACTTCTGACCCACTGGAATTGTGATACAGTGAATTATAAGTGAAATAATCTGTCAGTAAACAATTGTTGGAAAAATTACTTGTGTCATGCACAAAGTAGATGTCATAACCGACTTGCCAAAACGATAGTTTGTTAACAAGAAATTTGTGGAGTGGTTGAAAAACAAGTTTTAATGACTCCAACCTAAGTGTATGTAAACTCTATGGCTTAGTCTAGTGGCTTTGTTCAGCTGCTCACTAACCCAAACGAACCACATGATGCCAAACAAACCATTTTAAGCTAAATGAACCCCATGAAGCCAAACAAACCATTTGAAGCCAAACAAACCATTTGAAGCTAAAGGAACACTGTTTCAGAGGAGAGGAGCAAATTAAGGCACCTTGAAGAAGATCACTGTGCCTTCGGTTAACTACGTACACTAGTTTAGTTTCTCTTGGTTGAATTTACACACATGCACGCACGCGCAAGCACTTTGAACTCAGAGCTTACTTTGTTTTTGGGCCCGCGCTACAGACGGCTATATATCGGTCTGCTAATTCAGGACTAGTAAAGGCCCAGTGCACTACTTTAGTATTTTTGTAAATTTTGTATTAATAATTGATCTTCTTCTGATTTTTCAGGGGGTACTGCAGCACCCTCAGCACCCCTACTTCCTGCGGCTATGCCTCTGACTGCCTGTCTTGTATGTCTGCTACTGTTGCTGCACAAGGAAATGATTGGAACTGCATTTCCCACTGCCAACCAATGGAGGGAGACAGCTACACAGTAATGTGATTTTAGATGACGGGGAAGGGGATGAGTCGGAGTTGGAGTTGAAAACCAAACAGAACCAAGCAGCTGTACAGTGTACTGGGAGCTGGCCTTATGGTCTCTTTTCCCAGAGAGGATCCAAAGACAGGGTCAATCTAAAATGACACCATATTCCCCATAGAATACACTACCAGTACTGTACTGCACTTTATAGGCAGTAGAGTGCATTTAAGACACAACTGTTTAAGCCCCAAGATCTAAGTGTGCCAGTGTCTCTCACCACATAAATCTCTGGCCCAAAAGTAGTGCACTACATAGGGAATAGGGTGTAATTTGACCAGGGCCATCCAAGTCTTTCATGCTGTGTCTCTCCCATTGTGGTTTCATCAGGCTGCTGTGAGGTGGCTCTCTGCTCAGACCACACTGCCATGCTACTTCACAACGGACCAGCAACACGCTATGGGGACACAGGATGTACAAAAAGCAGTTGGAAAATAAAATGTACTCCTATAACTGCACTGCACACCAGAGAATAACTGGAATGTTAGAAATCAATGAGTTGTGCTTCAGAATAGTAACTTGCTTAGCCACTGCTCTCATGTTGTGATACTATAATTGGTTTCCTTCATATTTTGAGATTACAATTATCTACAGTATGTGTCCACTTCAATGTGCCTTCGATGTTTAAATGGATGCACTGGAACTTTATGACCTTTTTTAAGTAATGAATTATGATTAGCTTCAATGCAAGCTGTCATAAACATTACACTTAGCCTAATGTCGCTCAGATAATTCACTTCTTATGTGGTTTATAAGTGAAGATCAACAGTCCTTAATATAGTGCTGTTTTTCCCCCACTTGTCGCTAATAGTGTTGTAATACTGTTCTGATACTGTTCCCACTAAGCCCCAGTGTTGACAGGATAGTTATCTTTTAAGAGCCATGTGGAGCAGAGTTCCAGAGTGGGCTGAGTGAGCGCTGGTTCTAGCCCCTGAGGGGAGCCTGGTGGTGGGCTAGCTGCCTGTGAGGCCTGGCTCTCTGCGCAGAGCTCTGGTTCTCCCCCATAGAGAGAGATATTACAGCAGTCAGTTCAGCTGGGCTCGGCTCTGTAAACCTCCCAGGTATGGAGCGAACACAGACCTCTGACTGCTCTGGGGCTGCTGCCAAACACACACACACACACACACACACACACACACACACACACACACACACACATACTTCTCTGTATGACTGCCTAACAGGGCTTATCAGAGCTCAATATTACTTAATACTTTCAGCTGGCGAGAGAACAAGGAGAGCAGAGTTACAGTTTACAGTTAGCTGTTTTGTTGGAAGAGTGAGTACAGTGTGCGTGCACATGTGCTTGAGTGAACTGATTTCTCTCTGCATGCTTTAGTTAAGTAATATTCCGTGATTTCTTCTCTTTTAGCTGTAGTAGTTACAGTATAATGAAGCTTTGGTCCCCATCTCAGCATTACTACACACTAGAGTAGAGGCAGACAGAAAGAAAAGGTACAGTATAAGAAACAACAGCAGGCCCTTGCCTGAGAGAAGAGAGCAGAAAAACAGAGACAGGAAAAAAATAGATTGTGAGAAAGTGACTTTGAGCTGCTAAAGTGCGGTGGGTTGGTTTGTAACGTGTTGGTCTTCACCCCTCAGGCTGGGACTGATTGGTTGGTCCTCACCCCTCAGGCTGGGACTGATTGGTTGGTCCTCACCCCTCAGGCTGGGACTGATTGGTTGGTCCTCACCCCTCAGGCTGGGACTGATTGGTTGGTCCTCACCCCTCAGGCTGGGACTGATTGGTTGGTCCTCACCCCTCAGGCTGGGACTGATTGGTTGGTCCTCACCCCTCAGGCTGGGACAGATTGGTTGGTCCTCACCCCTCAGGCTGGGACAGATTGGTTGGTCCTCACCCCTCAGGCTGGGACAGATTGGTTGGTCCTCACCCCTCAGGCTGGGACAGATTGGTTGGTCCTCACCCCTCAGGCTGGGACTGATTGGTTGGTCCTCACCCCTCAGGCTGGGACAGATTGGTTGGTCCTCACCCCTCAGGCTGGGACAGATTGGTTGGTCCTCACCCCTCAGGCTGGGACAGATTGGTTGGTCCTCACCCCTCAGGCTGGGACAGATTGGTTGGTCCTCACCCTTCAGGCTGGGACTGATTAGTTGGTCCTCACCGCTCAGGCTGGGACTGATTGGTTGGTCCTCACCGCTCAGGCTGGGACTGATTAGTTGGTCCTCACCGCTCAGGCTGGGACTGATTGGTTGGTCCTCACCCCTAAGGCTGGGACAGATGGTCAGGAGGCTGTAGAGTCCCATTAGGGGCCCAACAGGGACCAGAGAGGGGTCTGAAGAGGCTAGCTTGAGCCTCAGTGGGCAAATCTAAAATGTTACACTATTCCCCAAGTAGTGCACTACGTTTGACCAGAATCCCCATGCTAAATTTGGCAAGGAGTATCATAATGATTCTCTGTATGAAATCTGTTTTTGTAGTTTGAGGCAACATCAGATAACCAAAGATGGGAAATCTGTTTGGGTTGGGGCTCTGGTCAGTAGTAGTCCACTACATGGGGAATAGGGTGTCATTATATTAGCCAGTATGTCAGTCCCTGGGCTCTTCTCAGGGCTCCAAGCTGCAGGCTCTAAGGTCTGACAAACTGTAGTACAGTCCAGTGTGTGTGGAGCTGGGTAGAATCACAGTGGGAGGGCTTAATACCAGCGCTTGGTTACATTCGCTGTCCCCCCTACCCTGAGAGAGGGAGGGATGGAGGTATGAGGGGAGAGAGGGAGGGATGGAGGGGTCACGGAGGAGGAGGCGGGCGCAGGCTCTTGCACTTCATGTCGTCCAGACCCTTCCAGTATTTGTAGTTCTCTGACAGGTGCTCCATGAGGCCAGGTAGACTGGCGAAGGCTGGGGGACAGAGGAGATTGTGAGGTTAACACACATCTGTATGCACACAAACACATGAGCCAGCGGTAGTTTCCACACAAGGAAATGACAGCTGGGGCAATTAGGTATCAGGCAGTTTGTGTTTGTGTGGGTGTTGTTTACTTCCTAGTTTCCGACTCGTTGGTTGCCCCTCTGTCTGAGCCTGACCTGGCAACCACCCGGCAACAACCCAGCCCTGACCCTGACGAATTAAAACCTGCTGTGTGAGTGTGTATGTGCGTTATGCTTGTGTGTGTGTGTATCTTTGTGCTTTTGTGTGCACTTTTGTGTGTGTGCTACTGTGTGTGTGTACAGTAAGTTCTGCTTCAGTGCGTCTCGACTTAACCCCTCCGGCCCCCCGGATACCCACCCCTGCCCCTCCACCCTTTCCCAGTGGCCTCTGGGAATTTTCCGTGACATCACTAGCTTTGATCACTATAAACACATGTATTCTCTTCTCTGGGAGGGGTAACCCCCAGCAACACCCCAGAGGTCACGGGTCATTTCATGGGAACGGGGAGATGGGAGTTATTGTATCCTATCCTCCTTTGTCCCATCCTCCCTCCTCTTTGTCCCTTCGTCTGTCTCCATCCCCTTCTCCCTCCCGCTCTTCTTCCTCTGGGCTACTGTGCTCCACTGTGACGGGAAAAGGGAGGCTCTACCTCTTTTACAGGGATGGATGAAATAGAAGAGAGGATGAGAAGAGATGAGGGGAGGCCTGGGCTCCTCCCAGTGGATCCCCTGTGCCCTTCTAACCTTGGCACCGTGAGTGTGTGTGTTCTTACCATCCCAGGCGTCGAACATGTCTGTAATGAAGTAGTCTATGAAGGAGATCTGAGACTTGGGGATACTGCAGGTGTTCCTGTCAAATACAGGCATGACCACCGGTAGAGCCTGTCTCTTCTCCTCGTCAGTCTGAAACACACACATAGATTCACACACAGGTTAACACACACACTGTAGTATTTAGAATATGTACATACACACAACACACATGTGTTTCCTGGACTCACTGCCAAAAGATAGTGCCACAAGGTCAGACAGAGAGAGAGGAAGACAGAGAGAGAGAGAGAGAGAGAGAGAGAGAGAGAGAGAGAGAGAGAGAGAGAGAGAGAAGGGAGGGAGGGGGCAGATTTATAGGTGCACACAGATACACTACATGACCAAAGGTATGTGGACACCTGCTCGTCGAACATCTCATTCCAAAATCATGGGCATTAATATGGAGTTGGTCCCCTCTTCGCTGCTATAATAGCCTCCACTCTTCTGGGAAGGCTTTCCACTAGATGTTGGAACATTGCTGCAGGGACTTGCTTCCATTCAGCTACAAGAGCATTAGTGAGGTCGGGCACTGATGTTGGGCGATTAGGCCTGGCTCGCAGTCGGCGTTCCAATTCATCCCAAAGGTGTTCGATGGGGTTGAGGTCAGGGCTCTGTGCAGGCCAGTCAAGTTCTTCCACACCGATCTCGACAAACCATTTCTGTATGGACCTTGCTTTGTGCACAGGGGCATTGTCATGCTGAAACAGGAAAGGACCTTCTCCAAACTGTTGCCACAAAGTTGGGGAAGCACAGAATCGTCTAGAATGTCATTGTATGCTGTAGCGTTAAGATTTCCCTTCACTGGCCTAGCCCGAACAATGAAAAACAGCCCCAGACCTTTATTCCTCCTCCACCAAACTTTACAGTTGCCACTATGCATTCGGGCAGGTAGTGTTCTCCTGGCATCTGGCCAAACCCAGATTCATCCGTCGGACTGCCAGATGATGAAGCGTGATTCATCACTCCAGAGAACGTGTTTCTACTGCTCCAGAGTCCAATGGCGGCAAGCTTTACACCACTCCAGCCAGCGCTTGGCATTGCACATGGTGATCTTAGGCTTGTGTGCGGCTGCTCGGCCATGGAAACCTATTTCATGAAGCTCCCGACGAACAGTTCTTGTGCTGACGTTGTTTCCAGATGCAGTTTGGAACTCGGTAGTGAGTGTTGCAATCGAGGACAGACAATTTTTACACGCTACGTGCTTCAGTACTTGCCGGTCCCGTTCTGTGAGCTTGTGTGGCCTACCACTTCGCCGCTGAGCCGTTGTTGCTCCTAGACATTTCCAATTCACAATAACAGCACTTACAGTTGACCAGGGCAGCTCTAGGAGGGCAGAAATTTGACGAACTGACTTGTTGGAAGGGTGGCATCCTATGACGGTGCCATGTTGAAAGTCACAGAGCTCTTCAGTAAGGCCATTCTTCTGCAAATGTTTGTGTATGGAGATTGCATGGCTGTGTGCTCTATTTTATACACATTTCAGCAACGGGTGTGGCTGAAATAGCCGAATCCACTAATTTGAAGGGGTGTATACATACTTTTGTATATATAGTGTAGCTGAGTAGGCAGTTGTTAAGGTCAGGATTGCCAGCTGCAGACTCCTATAGCACCAGAACAGTTGTTAAGGTCAGGATTGCCAGCTGCAGACTCCTATAGCACCAGAACAGTTGTTATGGTCAGGATTGCCAGCTGCAGACTCCAATAGCACCAGAACAGTTGTTAAGGTCAGGATTGCCAGCTGCAGACTCCTATAGCACCAGAACAGTTGTTAAGGTCAGGATTGCCAGCTGCAGACTCCTATAGCACCAGAACAGTTGTTAAGGTCAGGATTGCCAGCTTCAGACTCCTATAGCACCAGAACAGTTGTTAAGATCAGGATTGCCAGCTGCAGACTCCTATAGCACCAGAACAGTTGTTAAGGTCAGGATTGCCAGCTGCAGACTCCTATAGCACCAGAACAGTTGTTAAGGTCAGGATTGCCAGCTGCAGACTCCAATAGCACCAGAACAGTTGTTAAGGTCAGGATTGCCAGCTGCAGACTCCTATAGCACCAGAACAGTTGTTAAGGTCAGGATTGCCAGCTGCAGACTCCTATAGCACCAGAACAGTTGTTAAGGTCAGGATTGCCAGCTGCAGACTCCTATAGCACCAGAACAGTTGTTAAGGTCAGGATTGCCAGCTGCAGACTCCTATAGCACCAGAACAGTTGTTAAGGTCAGGATTGCCAGCTGCAGACTCCTATAGCACCAGAACAGTTGTTAAGGTCAGGATTGCCAGCTGCAGACTCCTATAGCACCAGAACAGTTGTTAAGGTCAGGATTGCCAGCTGCAGACTCCTATAGCACCAGAACAGTTGTTAAGGTCAGGATTGCCAGCTGCAGACTCCTATAGCACCAGAACAGTTGGTGCTGCAATGACACACTCCCCATCCCTCATTCTAACCCCTCGCTGTCCCCTTCCCCCTCTCCATTCCTTTACCTTCTGCCCTGTTACCCTTTAATCCCACACTTAACATACAACCGTCCCCTCCTCCAGGAGCCCTCCCTTCCTCCTTCCATCCCTGTCAGCCCCCTCACCTGGGAAAAGTACTCCTCAGAGATGCGTCCGGCCCATTCTATGCAGAGCTCCAGAGGTCTACAGGGATTGGCCACGTCAGCACACTTTATCATCATCCTCTTGATCAGCAGCCGGTTCTCTGGGCTGTTCCTGATGCTGGCTGGACCCTCACTGTCACTGCCTTCACTCTGTTACAGAGAAACACACACAAGGTCAAAGACACACACACACATTTCGATGCACACACAATCGGTCAGAAACACACACACACTATGGTATACATCACTAGAGGCTGGTGGGAGGAGCTATAGGAGGACGGGCTCATTGTAATGGCTGGAATTGAATAAATGGAATGGAGTCAAACGTGGTTTCCATAAGTTGGATACCGTTCCATAAATTCCATTCCACAGTTATACATAACGCTGGCCTGACTCTTGAAGTTGCTCCTCTCACAGATTATTTAGTTGCTTTGTGATATTATTTTAGTGGTAGTAGGGCTGAGATATAATCAGGCTAGACAGGCTGCTGCCCACGAGGGCCATGATTGCTAATCTCAGATAGGGGCTTCAAATTGGAGTCACATGCTCTGAATAGAGCCAAGTATTTTCCATTAGAACTCTCCATTGTTGAATGTCAAAATATTTACCCTTTTATTCCTATTTACTCATGAATGCTCATGGAATATACTGTATTTAGGAACTAAACTGTTTCTATAGTATTTTCTGTTCCCACTCAGTTGGCTAATGTTAACAACCATCTTTATTATGTAATAATAAACTACACACGCACATGGACGCTAGTACACACACACACACAAACACACACACATATACACAGACAAGGGGCTGTGTCTTACATTTGAGCTGGACTCCTCGATGGCAGCCATTGGTTTGTTGATGCTGTTGGCAAACTTGTTGACGTGTTCAAAATGGCGGGTCATCTCTGTAGCCAGCACCATGTCTATGATTGCCTGCCTCAACGTCCTGAACTGAGTCCTAATATAAACACACAGAGACGGGCTTACAGGACCAGGATAGTCAACTGTCCTCACTGTTTTCCAAGAAGTTCTAGGTCCATAAAAACCTAGAAGTTAATCAAATCACATGATATGTTCCAGGGTAATAACCCAACCTGCTCCATATCTGTCGCCAGTGGTTATGTGGTCTCTCTGATGGCTTAGAGGAAGAGGCATGTCAATTCATTACTTTAACAAGAACATTGCCTCTTTCCTACTGTAGCAAGCACTTAGCCTGGTCCCAGATCGGTCTGTGCACAAACAGACTTGGGACCAGGCTAGCAAGCACTAAAAGCTCCATGTGGAAACCATTATTTTCTCTCCTAGACTCTCTCCTGACTGTACCTGTCGATGTTTTTAAAGATGTTGCTCTTGCTATCCCTGACGGTGAGTTGGAAGGCTAGGGCGGCATGGTGACTCTCCAACACTGCCGTGTCGTTATACAGGATAGCCAGCTCACTTCCTGCATTACACAGGAAGCTGTTGGTCCTCCCTGGGTGGTCCACATCATGGACCGTCGCCGCGATCAACGCAGCCACCTCATCCAGCTGGTCCAGACTACCCTGAGAACACATGACACAACCAGGAAGTAGTGTTACTAAACTAAAACTCCCATGAGCCCCGGGAGACATATAGCAATCAGGAAGTAACATCAGTGTCAAACTTCCACAGAAGCACAGATAATAGAAAAAATGTAGTAGGGGAGCTCAGTTTCCTACAACTTTTACAATCTACAGTATATCTTAATAGAAAAACATATGAACCTATTAATCAGGGATGGGACTGAGACAGCAAAATCATTTTGGGAGTTAGACTTTTAGACCAGCTTTTTTTGTTGTTGAAATTGTGTATAAAATATAAATACTGCCTAAGTCTCTCTCAGCATAACCTCATACTCAACAAATGAATAATACCAAATAATGCACGCCATGCAAGCGCAACTAATAATAATAATCACTAGCAAATGGGAGAAAAGAGAGGGAAAGTATGAGGATCTCAATGCCCTCAAGGCAAAACACTTATTGAATGAGTCAAATATGAGAACAAGACCGAAGCTATAAAAACATCCCCCCACTCCAACTCTCACTGGTCACTGACATACATTAATCTAATGCCAAACAAAGAAAACTGATAATCTACTCTCCTCACGCACACACACACACACACACACACACACACACACACACACACACACACACACACACACACACACACACACACACACACACACACACACACACACATGGCAGTGAATTACGTAGTAGATCAACTTATCAATCAATCAGCACATTGATACAGTGCCTTGCAAAAGTATGCATACCCCTTGGCGTTTTTCCTATTTTGTTGCACTAGAACCTGTAATTTAAATTGATTTTTATTTGGATTTCATGTAATGGACATACACAAAATAGACCAAATTGGTGAAGTGAAATTAAAAAAATAACTTGTTTCAAAAAATTCTAAAGAGTAAATAACGGAAAAGTGGTGCGTGCATTTGTATTCACCCCCTTTGCTATGAAGCCCCTAAATAAGATCTGGTGCAACCAATTACCTTCAGAAGTCACATAATTAGTTAAATAAAGTCCACCTGTGTGCAATCTAAGTGTCACATGATCTGTCACATGATCTCAGTATATATACACCTGTTCTGAAAGGCCCCAGAGTCTGCAACACCACTAAGCAAGGGGCACCACCAAGGAAGCGGCACCATGAAGACCAAGGAGCTCTCCAAACAGGTCAGGGACAAAGTTGTGGAGAAGTACAGATCAGGGTTGGGTTATAAAATAATATCAGAAACTTTGAACATCCCACGGAGCACCATTAAATCCATTATAAAAAAATTGAAAGAATATGGCACCACAACAAACCTGCCAAGAGAGGGCCGCCCACCAAAATCAGAGGCAACAAAGAGACCAAAGATAACCCTGAAGTAGCTGCAAAGCTCCATAGCGGAAATTGGAGTATCTGTCCATAGGACCACTTTAAGCCGTACACTCTACAGAGCTGGGCTTTACGGAAGAGTGGCCAGAAAAAAGCCATTGCTTAAAGAAAAAAATAAGCAAACACGTTTGGTTTTCACCAAAAGGCATGTGGGAGACTCCCCAAACATATGGAAGAAGGTACTCTGGTCAGATGAGACTAAAATTGAGCTTTTTGGCCATCAAGGAAAACGCTATGTCTGGCGCAAACCCAACACCTCTCATCACCCCAAGAACACCATCGGCAGGGACTGGGAAACTGGTCAGAATTGAAGGAATGATAAATGGCCCTAAATACAGGGAAATTCTTGGGGGAAACCTGTTTCACTCTTCCAAAGATTTGAGACTGGGATGGAGGTTCACCTTCCAGCAGGACAATGACCCTAAGCATACTGCTAAAGCAACACCCGAGTGGTTTAAGGGGAAACATTTAAATGTCTTGGAATGGCCTAGTCAATGCCCAGACCTCAATCCAATTGAGAATCTGTGGTATGACTTAAAGATTGCTGTACACCAGCGGAACCCATCCAACTAGGAGCTGGAGCAGTTTTGCCTTGATGAATGGGCAAAAATCCCAGTGGCTAGATAGATAATTGCTGCAAAAAGTGTCTCTACAAAGTATTGACTTTGAGGGGGGTGAATAGTTATGCACGCTCAAGTTTTCTGTTTTTTTGTCTTATTTGTTGTTTGTTTCACCCCAAAAAAAATTGTGCATCTTCAAAGTTTTAGGCATGTTGTGTAAATCAAATGATACAAACCCCCCCAAAATCCATTTTAATTCCAGGATGTAAGGCAACAAAATAGGAAAAATGCCAAGGGGGGTGAATACTTTCTCAAGCCACTGTATGGCAGGCATAATCATCTTTTGGTGAAATATTGAAACTAACTGGTGTCAGTAGTAATTTCATTTGTGTGCATAAGTGGTGTACGCATATCCAACAATTCTCCAATCAGAAGGTCTTCTTCGGGCTGGTGTGGGGTTGTGGTAGGAGTTGTTGTGTGTGTGTGTGTATGCTGGTGTGTGTGTTTGGTCTACCTTGACCTTCTCCTTGCGTAGGAAGTAGGCAGTAGCATGTAGGACATCAGCGGCGTGGGTGGAGTTGTGGTAGGAGTTGGAGGCGTGGTAGTTAGCCTCTATAACCTGGAGCCAGCAGCGTAGCGTAGTCTCACTGCAGCTCAGGAACTCACACACACTGAAGCGAGCAAAGATCTTCAAGCCCAGGTAGGTCAGAGGTCTGTGGGGATGACAGAGAGAGGACAGGGAGGTACAGTGAGGGAAAAAAGTATTTGATCCCCTGCTGATTTTGTACGTTTGCCCACTGACAAAGAAATGATCAGTCTATAATTTTAATGGTAGGTTTATTTGAACAGTGAGAGACAGAATAAACATTTAAAAATCCAGAAAAACGCATGTAAAATTTTTTATGAATTGATTTGGATTTTAATGAGGGAAATAAGTATTTGACCTCTCAATCAGAAAGATTTCTGGCTCCCAGGTGTCTTTTATACAGGTAACGAGCTGAGATTAGGAGCACATTCTTAAAGGGAGTGTTCCTAATCTCAGTTTGTTACCTGTATAAAAGACACCTGTTCACAGAAGCAATCAATCAATCAGATTCCAAACTCTCCACCATGGCCAAGACCAAAGAGCTCTCGAAGGATGTCAGGGACAAGATTGTAGACCTACACAAGGCTGGAATGGGCTACAAGACCATCGCCAAGCAGCTTGGTGAGAAGGTGACAACAGTTGGTGCGATTATTTGCAAATGGAAGAAACACAAAATAACTGTCAATCTCCCTCGGCCTGGGGCTCCATGCAAGATCTCACCTCGTGGAGTTGCAATGATCATGAGAACGGTGAGGAATCAGCCCAGAACTACACGGGAGGATCTTGTCAATGATCTCAAGGCAGCTGGGACCATAGTCACCAAGAAAACAATTGGTAACACACTACGCCGTGAAGGACTGAAATCCTGCAGCGCCCGCAAGGTCCCCCTGCTCAAGAAAGCACATGTACAGGCCCGTCTGAAGTTTGCCAATGAACATCTGAATGATTCAGAGGAGAACTGGGTGAAAGTGATTTTGGTCAGATGAGACCAAAATCGAGCTCTTTGGCATCAACTCAACTCGCCGTGTTTGGAGGAGGAGGAATGCTGCCTATGACCCCAAGAACACCATCCCCACCGTCAAACATGGAGGTGGAAACATTATGCTTTGGGGGTGTTTATCTGCTAAGGGGACAGGACAACTTCACCACATCAAAGGGACGATGGACGGGGCCATGTACCGTCAAATCTTGGGTGAGAACCTCCTTCCCTCAGCCAGGGCATTGAAAATGGGTCGTGGATGGGTATTCCAGCATGACAATGACCCAAAACACACGGCCAAGGCAACAAAGGAGTGGCTCAAGAAGAAGCACATTAAGGTCCTGGAGTGGCCTAGCCAGTCTCCAGACCTTAATCCCATAGAAAATCTGTGGAGGGAGCTGAAGGTTCGAGTTGCCAAACGTCAGCCTCAAAACCTTAATGACTTGGACAAGATCTGCAAAGAGGAGTGGGACAAAATCCCTCCTGAGATGTGTGCAAACCTGGTGGCCAACTACAAGAAACGTCTGACCTCTGTGATTGCCAACAAGGGTTTTGCCACCAAGTACTAAGTCATGTTTTGCAGAGGGGTCAAATATTTATTTCCCTCATTCAAATGCAAATCAATTTATAACATTTTTGACATGCGTTTTTCTGGATTTTGTTGTTGTTATTCTGTCTCTCACTGTTCAAATAAACCTACCATTAAAATTATAGACTGATCATGTCTTTGTCAGTGGGCAAACGTACAAAATCAGCAGGGGATCAAATACTTTTTTCAGTAATTTTACAACATGTGAAATTCTGTGTGTTTCAAGTCTTCAATTTTAATCTGAAGTTCTTATTTATGCCTGTCAAAGCCTGTCTTCAAGTTGGTCACATGTTTATTTGCCAAATGTCTGTATGGTTATCTGAACTATTTTAACCCCACACTTGCTTGTTTTTGAAAGCCTAAAAAGAATGTCACAAATTAAAGATACAACTGGTCACAAACACCATATTGTATATGTATGTATATTTTAAAAACGTTTATTGTTTCTCACTAACACATTTTTTTTCCCTCACTGTAGATGAGTGATAGAAGGAGGATGTTCGTTCCCTTCTGTATTGGTGTACATGTGAGTACACCAAACATTAGGAACACCTTCCTAATATTGAGTTGCAGTCCCCCTTTTGCCCTCAGAACAGCGTCATTTCGTCGGGGCATGGACTCTACACAGTTGTGTCAAGTTGGCTGGATGTCCTTTGGCTGGTGGACCATTCTTGATACACACGGGAAACTGTTGAGCGTGAAAAACCCAGCAGCGCTGCAGTTCTTGACACAAACTGGCACCTACTACCATAGCCTGTTCAAAGGCAATTAAATATTTTGTCTTGCCCATTAACCCTCTGAATGCCACACATACACAATCCATGTCTCAATTGTCTCAAGACTAAAAAATAATTCTTTAACCTGTCTCCTCCCCTTCATCTACACTGACTGAAGTGGATTTAACAAGTGACATCAATAAGGGATCATGGCTTTCACCTGGATTCACCTGGTCAGTCTATGTCATGGAAAGAGCATAATAACCTCTATCTTCACTTTCCCCTTAACCCCCTAACAACCTTCATCCCTCTCTTACTCATCGCCACTTCCCTCAACTGTCCTCTCTCTCTCCTCCCCCCCTCTCCCTCTCCTCCCCCCTCTCTCTCCTCCTCTCTCTCCTCCCCCCTCTCCCTCTCCTCCTCCCTCTCTCTCTCCTCCTCCCTCTCCTCCCCCCCCCCTCTCTCTCCTCCCCCCTCTACCCCCCCCCTCTCTCTCCCCCCCCCCCCCCCCTCGCTCCCTCTCCTCCTCCTCCCTCCATACCTCTTACAGGTGGCAGCCTCCAGCTCTAGGATGTTAAACTCCCATTGGTCCTCGTCATCCAGCATCTCAGCGATGGCCGGAGGGATGTCATTCAGCGTTACTGGGATGGCCAGCTGACTCTGGCTCATATCTGGAGACACACACATGCACAGATTGGCTGGATATGCCCTCACCTGCTAGTAACTTATACTGATTCACTAAGATCTGCCCACTATAGTGTTGTCCTGTAAGAATGTGATCTTGTGGCCCAAAACTGTTTGTCACCACACACACACACACACGCGGACACAGCTGTTTCCATTTAAAGTGGTTTTTATGTGTATTTTTATTTTTACTTATTATGGATCCCCATTAGCTGCTGCCAAGGCAGCAGCTACTCTTCCTGGGGTCCAGCAAAATTAAGGCAATTATACAATTATACATTACAATACATTCACAGATTTCCCAACACACTGTGTGCCCTCAGGCCCCTACACCACCACTACCACATATCTACAATACAAAATCCATGAGTACGTGCTGTCTATAGTGCGTATGTTATCGTGTGTGTGTATGCATGTGTATGTGCCTATGTTTGTGTTGTTTTATATTCACTGGACGCATACACTTCAGTTAGCAACAGCATGTGAAAGTCCATACACTTCAATTAGGAACAGCATGTGAAAGTCCATACACTTCAGTTAGGAACCGCATGTGAAAGTCCATACACTTTAGTTAGGAACAGCATGTGAAAGTCCATACACTTCAGTTAGGAACAGCATGTGAAAGTCCATACACTTCAGTTAGGAACAGCATGTGAAAGTCCATACACTTCAGTTAGGAACAGCATGTGAAAGTCCATACACTTCAGTTAGGAACAGCATGTGAAAGTCCATACACTTCAGTTAGGAACAGCATGTGAAAGTCCATACACTTCAGTTAGGAACAGCATGTGAAAGTCCATACACTTCAGTTAGGAACAGCATGTGAAAGTCTGTCAGCAACACTACTATTTGCTTCTTTCCTTGCGACTGCAAACACGCACTAACTAAAGGTGAGGGGAGGGTTGAAAGGGCCAGCCTTATTTTACACTGATACAGTGGCTTGCGAAAGTATTCACCCCCCCCTTGCCATTTTTCCTATTTTGTTGCCTTACATCCTAGAATTAAAATGGATTTTTTTGGAGGTTTGTATCATTTGATTTACACAACATGCCTACCACTTTGAAGATGCAAAATATTTTTTCTTGTGAAACAAACAAGAAATAAGACAGAAATCTGAAAACTTGAGCGTGCATAACTATTCAATCCCCCAAAGTCAATACTTTGTAGAGCCACCTTTTGCAGCAATTACAGCTGCAAGTCACTTGAGGTATGTCTCTATAACATCTAGCAACTGGGATTTTTGCCCATTCTTCAAGGCAAAACTGCTCCAGCTCCTAGTTGGATGGGTTCCGCTGGTGTACAGCAATCTTTAAGTCATTCCACAGATTCTCAATTGGATTGAGGTCTGGGCTTTGACAAGGCCATTCCAAGACATTTAAATGTTTCCCCTTAAACCACTTGAGTGTTGCTTTAGCAGTATGCTTAGGGTCATTGTCCTGCTGGAAGGTGAACCTCCGTCCCAGTCTCAAAGCTCTGGAAGACTGAAACAGGTTTCCCCCAAGAGTTTCCCTGTATTTAGCGCCATCCATCATTCCTTCAATTCTGACCAGTTTCACAGTCCCTGCCGATGAAAAACATCCCCACAGCATGATGCTGCCACCACCATGCTTCACTGTGGGGATGGTGTTCTCGGGGCGATGAGAGGTGTTGGGTTTGCGCCAGACATAGCGTTTTCCTTGATGGCCAAAAAGCAAAATGTTACTCTCATCTGACCAGAGTACCTTCTTCCATATGTTTGGGGAGTCTCCCACATGCCTTTTGGCGAACACCAACCGTGTTTGCTTATTTTTTTCTTTAAGCAATGGCTTTTTTCTGGCCACTCTTCCGTAAAGCCCAGCTCTGTGGAGTGTACGGCTTAAAGTGGTCCTATGGACAGATACTCCGATCTCCGCTGTGGAGCTTTGCAGCTCCTTCAGGGTTATCTTTGGTCTCTTTGTTGCCTCTCTGATTAATGCCCTCCTTGCCTGGGCCATGAGTTTTGGTGGGCGGCCCTCTCTTGGCAGGTTTGTTGTGGTGCCATATTCTTTCAATTTTTTTAATAATGGATTTAATGGTGCTCCGTGGGATGTTCAAAGTTTATGATATTTTTTTATAACCCAACCCTGATCTGTACTTCTCCACAATTTTGTCCCTGACCTGTTTGGAGAGCTCCTTGGTCTTCATGGTGCCGCTTGCTTGGTGGTGCCCCTTGCTTAGTGGTGTTGCAGACTCTGGGGCCTTTCAGAACAGGTGTATATATACTGAGATCATGTGACAGATCATGTGACACTTAGATTGCACACAGGTGGACTTTATTTAACTAATTATGTGACTTCTGAAGGTAATTGGTTGCACCAGATCTTATTTAGGGGCTTCATAGCAAAAGGGGTGAATACATATGCACGCACCACTTTTCCATAATTTTTTTATTTATTTCACTTCACCAATTCGGACTATTTTGTGTATGTCCATTACATGAAATCCAAATAAAAATCCATTTAAATTACAGGTTGTAATGCAACAAAATAGGAAAAATGCCAAGGGGGATGAATACTTTTGCATGGCACTGTACACCATTGATTGGTTGGTTGGTCCACTGATTGATTGCATTTGGGACACTTGAGAGCACAACGCAACAACAACAATTTCCAGTGTAGTCCTCAGCTGTGTCCCTAAATTACCTAGCAACATGGTCCTTATGGTAGAGGGTGAGATACATAGAGATCATATTAAATAACTTCTAATTCCTAATTATATGGTCAGATAAGGTAAGGTAGCTTGACAAGTGGTTTCAGAATCCTGTTTACCTAGGATTCATCGTGACTAGATCAAATATAAGGGGATTATGGAATGACTGCCAATGACTGCCGATGCACTTGTAGACTCCAACTGATGAAATGATCTGAGACATTTTCTATCACTCTTCAGACAGACAGAGGTCCATACATGAAAAGTAATGGTTTCAGCAAAACTCCCTAAGCCCCCAATCATGTGTAATGAGAATGAGTACATTAAGCTCCCAGTGTAATTTAATTAGATGAAATATTACATATTAATTATGCAACACAAATATACCACTAAAACGTGCTAAAACACAATTGAACACATAATTAATCTCAGTTTGTGTTGTAATTGCTTACTTGGAAAGGTACTTTTGGAGAAGACATACTCGTTCCCAGACAGTCTCCGTAAACCATCCTGCAGAAGGAAAAAGACAGCAAATCACTCTCTTGATCCATGCTGTGAAAAAACATTTAAAAAATACCCTTTTGGTTTATCTAAAATCTGGCTAATAACAACATATTTCACATTATACAATGACTTCAGCATTATAATTCACCCAACGAGAAATATCCCACATAACTCAGGAACTCTCGTGTTTGAGTGTTTGTGAGAAGAGGAGAGAAGAGGAGAGGGGAGGTGAGAGGAGGGGTATGTGTGTGTGAGTGTGTGTGTGTGTGTGTGTGCATGTGTAGCCCCTCATGAGCCACCCTACGAGGTCATTGGTGTGTGGATGGAGAGGAGTATCCTAAAAACTAAATGGGGCCTAAATGGGGCCTGTGAAGGAGTGTGTGTGTGAGAATGTGTTGTGTGTGTGTGTGTGTGTGTGTGTGTGTGTGTGTGTGCGTGTGTAGCCTCTGACTCACGCTCATGAGCCCCCCTACGAGGTCGTTGGTGTGTGGGTCGTCCTCCTTGGAGGCCAGCTGAGGAGAGTAGAGCTCTGTGGTCCTCAGGATCTCCAGGACCCGGTCCAGCGCCTCCGCTACCGAAACCGGACTAGACTCCTGGGCCGCGTTGATGATGTTGATCACCTGGAGATGGAGGAAGATGGAGAGAGATAGAGCACACAGTTACACTCTATGTAAAGGGGGGCTGAACTCTGCGATTCCGCCCATTAAGAAAAACGAGATTTGGGTCTTGGGGGTGTTGTTTGATGTGGGTGTGTTATGTTGTTTGTTCCTCTTGAGTCACGGAAGCAACATTTCACCCTCAAAATAGTCATAGATAAATCAAGAAATATGTAATACATTTTGGGAGCTTAGTCACTGGCGAGTGGCAAAGTGCTTTGGTGCCGTTTTGTTTGGACAACTTTCTCACTATCTATTACCAGAGTGTATGTCTCTCTGGTAGTGTTTCATAGTGAATCATGTTCGAGTTGCCGCGGGACACATGATGCTTGCGAATGGGTTTTTCATTTTGGAATACTGTGCACATCATATAAATTCAAATTTTGCCCAAAACAGTGGCAGACTCGAGTGATCACTATCAAACACATCAGCAAGTGGCCACTCGATAAAGGGCTTAGGGGCCAAGTGTTCTTTCAATATAATATTGGCGATGTGTTGTCTTATGCAAACAAGTCCGAGGCGCTGCGTAATGTGGACAGCATAGAAATATACATATATTTCTATGGTGGACAGGTCTGACTCACTGTCTGTAGGTTCTGTCATATGAATAGATAGAGCGCAATTAGCACAGCTGTTTCTCTGTGCATGACAATTCTCCCTAGGCGTTACCATCCCGTGTTAGCGAGCAAGTGGGCATGATCAAAATCAAAATCCAACCCTCAAATATCCAATAGATCTAGGAACGTAACAGACACACACACACACACACACACACACACACACACACACACACACACACACACACACACACACACACACACACACACACACACACACACACACACACACACACACACAAGCCTAAGGGACACATCCCTCTTCAGACAAAAAGTGTCTTTCTTTGAGCCTGTGTCAGGGAGCTCTGCATGTGATGCCTTAGAAATCCTGTCTGGGGCCAAATAGATAAAGCAGCTAGTCAGCTAGCCAAGAATAAGACTAGACTGGGGAGGATTTCAGTTATAGCCTGATCCCAGAACTCTCATTAGAGAATTAGGTGGAAGAATGGCACTACAATCAGATTTAAGTCATAATGCCCGAGAAGCCGGTGTTTGGAAGATATATTTGCACCCCCACACCGGCTTCGAGGGCATTATCACTTTTATACAACGGGTTACCAACATATTCAAATAATGATTTACATATTTTCCATACTGGCTGGCAACGTTCTTATCCCTTGCTTGCTAGCTAGCCAACTACAGCTAACTTACAGTCACGTCAAACAGAGCAGCCAGAATAACAGCAAAGTAACTGCATTTGCGTTTGTTTAAGCTGTTTTCTAGTGACATTTATTTGGATACATCCATAACAATGAGCTAATGATGCGCGATTTCGCCTGGCTTAGAAAATGTGCTCTTTCATCAGGACACTGTTGTTCAGAGGAGCTAGCCAACAACACAGCTAACACAATCACTTCAAACTTACGCTTGAAAGACTGCAAACTAGCTGCATTTCATTTAGTTTTACCTGTTTTCTATTGACATTTCTTTGTATATATCCATAAAAATTATACCAGCTGATTCATGATTTCCAATGGCTGAGAAAAGCTGTCTTCCTGTCTGTCTAGTCCCGACTCCCAACATGTTCATTACTATGGAACAGCTGGAGATCAAATGTCAATATTGAAACAATGTTGCAAATGTCGGAAAGACAGACAGCAAGGTTTATACAAATCTCTGCTGTTGAAAACCAAATGCTAGTCTAAAAGAAATGGGAGATAATGTCTAGATGCTTTTTATAGTGGAGTTCAAGTTTATAAATTGCCTGGCTGGGTTGATGAGACAGTGGATTGCACAGTGAGATGGAACAGAGTAAATAGGCATTTCAACATCATAGCTTTAGCTGGTGGTAACTTGTGGAATAGACACTGGCTGGAATGTGGTTTTAACCAATCAGCATCCAGGATTAGACCCACCCATTGTATAATAGAATGATCGATCACAGCTGTCACTTTCAACTGTGTTGTCACAATCATTAGAATCATCAGGTCAAACTTGACGTTGTAATCAATGCTGTCGCTTGCCAATCAGGTTTATTGATCACTGTTCAGTCAGATGGATTGATCACTGTTCAGTCAATGTTCAGCTTCAATTGCCAAAGAACAGCAAACAACTAGACATTACATAACATTCCAAGAATGCTTGAGAATATTTATAGAATGTTCATGGAACACAGTTTGGAGCCTTTTCCCAGAACATTCCTGTGACATTCACTTGACATTCTGAGAACCATAAATTGTCAGCTGGGTTGGCTAGAAGTTATGTCACAACAAAATGGGAACTTCAAACCACAATGTTGTGTTGTGTCGCAAATATTTGCCATGTGCTGAGGTCTTTCTGTAGTTGAGAGAGTTTTGAGAAGTTCTGTTGAGCTTTCTACTGCCTCTGTTAGGTCTTCACCCTCACACTATCTCCAGGGAGCATCAGTTATAGTTCTAGGTACATGTTCTATTTTAGGGGTCGGCAACAGGTGACCCCTAAACCACCCAAAGTTTTAAGGTAAAAAAATAATCAGGAATTCACAAAAAGAAAAAAGGAAATCGGTTCCCAATTATTCCCATAAAAAAAAGAAATTTGTGATCGTGTCTCAATGTAATCAAGGTATGAAATTATTGTTATTTTCAAATACAAACTCTTATTGGGCTTAGTTGTGGTAAATTTGCGGTGTTCAAATTATTATAATTATGTTCTGGCCTCCCGACCATCCGCTCCGACAAAAATCGGCATATGGCTGAACCTAATTGCCTACCCTTGCTCTATTTGTTGGGAAGGTGCACAGAGTTTGAAAGGAGAGGATAATATGTGTGTGTGTGTGTGTGTGTGTGTCACAGGAGGCTGCTGATGGGAGGACGGCTCATAATAATGGCTGGAACGGAGTAAATGGAATGGCATCAAAACCATGAAAACCATGTGTTAGATATATTTGATACCATTCCACCCATTCGGCTCAGCCATTACCACGAGCCTGTCCTCCCCAATTAAGGTGCCACCAACCTCCTGTGGTGTGTGTGTGTGTGTATGTACTGTACCTTGGTGATGGGGGCCTCTATGGTCATAGAGTGGATCCTGGCAACAGAAGAGTACCTCCGGTTCTGCAGACTGGGAGCTGGAGACAACAAGACAATAAGACACAGTACTGTGACATGCTCCTCTTACAGTACTGTGACATGATCCTCTTACAGTACTGTGACATGCTCCTCTTACAGTACTGTGACATGCTCCTCTTACAGTACTGTGACATGCTCCTCTTACAGTACTGTGACATGCTCCTCTGACAGTACTGTGACATGATCCTCTTACAGTACTGTGACATGCTCCTCTTACAGTACTGTGACATGCTCCTCTTACAGTACTGTGACATACTCCTCTTACAGTACTGTGACATGCTCCTCTTACAGTACTGTGACATGCTCCTCTGACAGTACTGTGACATGCTCCTCTTACAGTACTGTGACATACTCCTCTTATAGTACTGTGACATGCTCCTCTTACAGTACTGTGACATACTCCTCTTACAGTACTGTGACATGCTCCTCTTACAGTACTGTGACATGCTCCTCTTACAGTACTGTGACATACTCCTCTTACAGTACTGTGACATGCTCCTCTTACAGTACTGTGACATGCTCCTCTTACAGTACTGTGACATGCTCCTCTTACAGTACTGTGACATGCTCCTCTTACAGTACTGTGACATGCTCCTCTTACAGTACTGTGACATGCTCCTCTGACAGTACTGTGACATGCTCCTCTTACAGTACTGTGACATGCTCCTCTTACAGTACTGTGACATGCTCCTCTTACAGTACTGTGACATGATCCTCTTATAGTACAGTGACATGCTCCTCTTACAGTACTGTGACATGCTCCTCTTACAGTACTGTGACATGCTCCTCTTATAGTACAGTGACATGCTCCTCTTACAGTACTGTGACATGCTCCTCTTATAGTACTGTGACATGCTCCTCTTATAGTACAGTGACATGCTCCTCTTACAGTAAAACATGTCATTCTAGCTTATATTAAATTAACTTAATAATGTATAACGGATGTAACTCAACACACCACTGGGGCTGTGGTGGCAAGCTGCCCTGTACAATGATGCAGTATGGATGGATGGAGGAGAAAGGACAGAGGAGAAGGAGGAGTAGAAAAAATAGAAATGGGGAGGACATGAGAGGAGAGAAAATAACAGGAGAAGAAGAATGAAATAGAGAGAGAGAAGAGAGAGAGAGAGAGAGAGAGAGAAGGAGAGAGAGAGAGAAGGAGAGAGAGAGGTAGAGGACAGGAGAAGCACCACTTCAGTCCAGCTGATGAAAATAGCAGCAGCTGCGTCAGAGTGAGATGGGGGGGGGGGGGGCTTAGTGATGTCATCAGAGCCCGACACGGCTCTCTGAGGTCTCTTCTCTGACCCTCCCTCTCTCCTCAACCCCCTTTCTCTTTACCTCCTTCCTCTCTCTATCTTCTCCTCTCTCTATATCCTTCTTCTTGTCCCTTCGTTTTTATATTTCTGTCTTCCTCCATCTCCCTTGGGATCCCTCAATCAGTCTTCCCATACCCCCATCTCTTACCCTTTCTCACAACTACTGACATGCACATGAGCACGCATGCAAGCACGAATGCGCGCGCACACACACACTCACAGTACCCTGGTGTTCATTTATACATACTCACCATCACTGCCACGCGAGCTGATTGACCTGGCATCAACCGACTCTTTCCTCCTGTCTCTGTGACGCAGGGAATGGCTCTCTGGGAAAAGAAAACACAGGATGATGGACTATATGACCCAGATAGGACTGAGACAGTTTCTTAAAGATAGACAACTGCCTCACTTCTCTTCTCTGTTGAGAGTTTAGTGTTGAACTTTCCAGTTTGAAT